GCCACTTGACCCATTTACTACAGTCCAACGTCAGGGGTCTTACATGCTACTGTATGTGTTCAAAAAAATCTCAAACTCTTCCAAGTTTCTTCATCAAGTTTTCATGCCAAGATGTCTCATAAATTATGAGAGCATCTCCAGCTGACTTTAGTTCAATTCCCGACTCCTAACCACAGCACAAAGAAAGGAAAAAAAAAAAGTTTTGGTTGACCATTGAGTCATTCGCCTTTCGAAATCTTTAATCTGAGTTGTTCGAAATCTTTGAAAATTGTTCTGACGCATTTTTGCACCCCAGAAGTTTTATTTTTGGAGAACCAAACTGTGGAACTAAGGAGATGCTCCTCATCTAAACTCTTTTGAGAGCTCCCTAATGAGTTACACACACTCAATATCTCTGAGTACAAAAAAGAACAGGATCTCTCGCAGAGTACAGTGAGACAGAAATATCAATTAATCAGAAACTTCAGAGACAGTTTTGGTAGCAATTCACTAACATGGCATATAATGTACAGTGTGCCTCAAAGTCTGCATTATTGAGTACTGCGTCCCGCTTGTGCTCTTTAGAAATGAAAACACCACATAATGGAGGAAGGAGGTGCTGAGTGTGTTGGCTTGAACTGTGATGAATGCGGACGAATATAAAAACTATTACGGATTATGTTCTAGCACAGTGTACAAATGAATAACCACCTAACCAATCTCTGCTAATAATTACACTAATTTATCTAGCCTCAGACTTTTCTCAGACTTACGGTTTGTTGTATTCAGGATGAGAAACAGAAGAAAAAAGATGAAGCCAAGTCCTCTGTTCCAGCAGTACAAACTACAATAACGCCAACTGAGGGAGCGCTAAGCGTCCAGCCGGGAGAGATCATGGCATTGACTCTGATTAATTTAGTTAATTATTAGCCTTGGGGTTCCAATTCAGCAGTCACTCACAGCACCCGTTCTATCCCCCATCCTGCCCTTTTAAAAGGAAGGAGGCCTTGAACAAGTAATCAGATGGGTAGCAATTACAGAGTTTCTTATACTCAAAGGGTTCTTCATCTTTCAGCCCAGATCTTCAGAGGAGTTCTGGACGACATCCTGCAGGATCATAAGATAAATCTTAAGGGACGGAGATTTGTGGGGAAGACAGGCAGAAATGGAAGAGGTAAGAAAGGAAGCGATCTCTTTATCCCTGCAATAGGTTTTTGACCCCATGAATATAATTTGACTATTTCTATTGAAATAGGACACTGGACTGGGACAAATCAAATGGCTGTTTTAAAGAGGACCTGTTATGCTTTTTTATATTTTTGTAATATAAAATTTTATTATTTTTTTTATTTTATTTTTTTTTTCAATTTTCTTTAATGTGTTGCTCTTTCAGCATGAAAAAGGTCTGCAAAGTCACCTACTCGAAAGGGAGATATTCTCTATATTCTCAGTAAGCACCATTTCTAAACTCCCTGAAACTCCTCAATTGTAGTCTTGAGTTTCCTTCCAGGAAGGAACATCACACACACAGTGGTGTGAATAAGTGTTTGCCCCCATGCTAAAGTTGCCTAAAAAGAGGAATAAAAAAATCATCTTTTGGATATTGAACTTAATGCCTTAATTAGAAAAATGAGGAAAATTCCAACCTTTAAGGACACAAATTTTCTTTGTGAATAAATAATGAATCATAAATAAATAAATGTTTTTCCTTAAAATACAGGGTGCATAAGTCATTGCCCCCCTACGTTAAATTCCCATAGAGTCAGGCAGATTTTTATTTTTAAAAGCCAGTTATTTCATGGATCCAGGATAATATGCATCCTGATAAAGTTCCCTTGGCCTTTGGAATTAAAATATCCCCACATCATCACACACCTTCCACCACACCTAGAGATTGGCATGGGGTACTTTCCATAAGATCATCTTTCAATGCAAATCAAATCAGCTATTATAGGCTAACTGAAGTAAAACCATGCCAATCTCAAGGCATGGTGAATGGTGTGTGATGATGTGGGGATATTTTAATTCCAAAGGCCAAGGGAACTTTATCAGGATGCATATTATCCTGGATCCATGAAATAACTGGCTTTTAAAAATAAAAATCTGCCTGACTCTATGGGAATTTAACATAGGGCGGCAATGACTTATGCACCCTGTATTTTAAGGAAAAACATTTATTTATTTATGATACATTATTCATTCACAAAGAAAATTTGTGTCCTTAAAGGTTGGAGTTTCCCTCATTTTTCTAATTAAGGCATTAAGATCAATATCCAAAAGATGCTTTTTTTATTCCTCTTTTTAGGCAACTTTAGCATGGGGGCAAACACTTATTCACACCACTGTATACACTATTATACAAAATAATCCTGTAGATACATATGTAAATTCCATTTTGTGAAATAATTTTACTTTCGTCTATTTCATCAACAACACGTCAGGGGCTAGCTACGTTAGTTTAGTTGCTCGCATATAATGTTAGCTCACTCGATCCTTCGAGCTAACGTCACATTCTCCACCACATACTGTAAGTTGAAGCTATTTATTAGACAAGGCATCTAACGTTAGTCCATTTGTTAAAGGGGTGATGAACTGAGAAATCAAAATTTCCTTGAGCTTTTGACATCTAAGAGGTTTTCAGAACTGAAGTTTCAGAACTGAAAACGTCCTTGTTAGACCAATAAAAGCTTTTATTGACACTAGCTTCTGCAAACGACTCGTTTTGGCCCTGAATTGGGTGTGTTAGATAAGGGAGACATGGGCTATGTTCTGTCAGTCCAAAATCCAATTAATTTATGTAATTAAATGAATGTGCTTCTAATGATTGCAAACAGTACATACTGTACAAGAGAAAGTGCCTTCTGGTCCATTATTCCAGTAGAGATTTTAATTCTGTATATCTGCTAAAAGTTGTTTTGTCAACTTTTAGGAGTACACTGCAATATAGACGCCTCCTCTAAGCTAACAGATAAAAACTAAAAGCCACAATTTCATGGGGTCTTTGACCTTCACATTCAATGCAGCCTCTCTCTCTCTCTCTCTCTCTCTCTCTCTCTTTTACATTCTTTAACCTCATCACACCACTGGATTTCCTTTTATTTTAGCCCATCTCTGTAATCCCAGGAGTGCTGTGCTCTTGGCTAGATGCTGTGGCTGTGTGTGACATTCTCTGTGACTGGAGATGCCTGGTTGACCTGGGTTCACTGCAGACCCATTTACAGGCTGACTAGCCTACATTTAACCTCCCTCTAGCCATTAAGGCAGTTTGCAAACACTGTGTATATACGTGTGCGTGCGTGTGACTGTGCAATGTGCACTCATGGCACGCGTTTACTCCAGGCCACTCTCTGCTGACACATGCACTGATGAAAGCAGGACACATCAGGCCAACCCACCCTCTCTCTCTCTCTTATTTCTTTTAAACCTTGATTCATGCAAACCATTTTTTTTTTACATACAGGGGACTTGAGTGCTTTTAAATTAAAGCGTGTGTCAATATAGAAAAATAGGATGCCAAACCATTCCTGAAAACATGTCAGGGTTGTGAGGTTAGGGGCTTCCACATCTAAATGCACCTATACACTACAGTTAAACATTTTGTTTTACTGTAGTTAAACAGTTAAACCAAGCTGAATAAAGCAAACTGAATCAACACCGAACTGACTGAATAATGGCACTATTGTCTATTTTAGAGCTGCATTACAGCAGAATTGAATTCTGTTTATTCATTATTTTTTTGATTATCACTGTAAAGCTGCTTTGAAACAATTTGTATTGTATAAAGTACTATATAATTAAAGATGAATTGACTTTGAACATTTAAATGATTAAATTAAAATAATATTTATATTAAAAATGTGTGTGTATACATTATGAAATTTGGCCTCTCAGACAGTGGAGGAAATACTGTACATGTGGAAGGCAGAGCTCCATTTCACCACTACATAGTGAAAGTAGAAGCTGACAGTAAGAGCTGAAGGGAAGAAGTGCAGGGAATGTCTTCTGCCACTTACGGTAAAAAAAGGGGAAGCTGCTGGGGGTGGAGAAATGAATGTGAATGCAGCCAAACACACACACACTTTACGGTTACTCCCACTTCTGCAGAGCAACAAAATTGTCTACTTACACCAGGGGTGCCCAGTCCTGTTCCTGGAGATTTGCCTTCCTGCAACATTCAGCTCCAGCTCTCATTAAATACACCTGATCCAGCTAGTTAAGATTTTCAGGAATGCTTGAGAATTACAGACAGGTGTGCTTGAGCAGAAATGGAACTGAACACTGCAGGAGAATAGCTCTATGTCTGAAAAGGCCAACTTCTATAATATACAGTAGGCGAAAAACAGAATGTGACCTGACTAGTATGTCCGAATTCATAGTATTCATAAACAGTAGGTGAAAAGTACCCAAATTACCTACTACTTCTGGCGAGATTCTGAATGTGCATTCGATGGACGCTTTACCAACCGATGAGGCCACAGGAGAGAATTTGTGAATGGAGGTGAAGCGACACAACTGATACCATATGTCACAGGACAGTGAAAACATGGCGGATGTGTAGAACCAATATATACTGTAATATGCATACAATGTAGACAAGAAGACTTATGCAAAGTTATATGCTGCACACAAACTTACCTCTAATACTGTAAGTTTCTAGTGACCCTTAAAAAGTACTTGGACATTTAAGTTAGTCCGTTTTGCAATGGATAATTACAACCGGTTATTTTGTAAAGTATGCAAGATTTTTGTTAAAATGTGATGTCAACATTTTTTTTTTTTTCATTAAATATTATTCTATTACATCTTGCCTCTTATCTCTGAAAATATCTTGGCAAAATCACCTTGTTTAGTGCAGAAAAATAGTGATTTATAGTGGCGAGCTCAAAATACTCTCTTTCTCTAATGCGACCATTTGTCTAACGCCTGGCGGAGGTACAAAAAAATCGTCCGTACAAATCATAAAAATAAGAATACTGCTGAGGTTTAGCTGACAGAGAAGTCAATGTAGACTGGTCACTTACCAAAATATTCCTCAGTAGGGGGGTTGTCCATGTCATACAGCATCTTCTTAGTCAGGCGCTCCAGTTCCTCCTCAGGACGACCCTAAAACACAACACACCACGGTTAGACATACACTCTCAATAGGACTGAGAAACGATTAATTGCGATTAATCGTATCCAAAAAAAAGTTTGTGTTTACATAATATATGTGTGTGTAGTGTGTACTGTATAATTATTTTGTGTGTATATATATATATATATATATACACACACACACACACACATATGTATGTATATATTTAAGAAAAATGTGTTATTATGATCACACAATGATCAGCTTGTACTAAATGTATAAGAGCACAAATCTTGCAAACATTATACAGAAAACGTTGACATTTACGATAACAAGATAACACCAGGCTAATGAAATGAGTTGAAGCAACAGGTTTTCATGGATGTGCACACGCATCTCTTAATTATAAGGATCACCAGCCTAACGAGATCATCAGCCTAACAAATAACTAGACTGTTGCTGAGGTTTGAAGTCGGTGACAACTACACTCTCTTGATGCACTCAAACACCCAGAATCTTATCATGATGAAATTCATTAACTTCATCTACAGCTCATTTTTAATTGACAGGTTGTGCCTCTACTGTTATTGCCAAAAGAGCAGAGCTGGAGTGTATTTGTATTTGTTTGTATTTGCAGATCTTGCAGTGTGGTGAGGTGCACTATACAAAGGAAAGTGTTGGAGAATGTTAATTATAATAGTAACAAACTTAGTCAAACTGTTACTTGAGTCAATGATGGATTAGAATCGGGATTAATAAAACCACATATTACAAATCACATTTTAAGAGATACAATTTACTTTGTGCCTGTCTGAGATAAATGGGATAAGTGAAAAAAAGAATAATTGCCAAGTAAAAATCACATCTGTTGAGGATGCCATTATGATCTGATCTACTATTAGTGAATAAATTACATATTGCAGCTTTAATTTGGGCTCAGATACACTTATCATGCCTTTTTCCCCCTCAGTTTTATTTAACTACGGAATAACTGGATGATCAAATCCACCTCTTTGGAAGGGAAACGATCGAGCCAGGTAATCCACAGACTAACAAACAAACACCCAGTTTTAACCAAATGTCAGAGGTTTTCCATCCAAAACCATTAAAGATCACACAATGGCCATTTAACAGTGCAAAATGAGGTCAAACAGGAAACCACTTCAACAAATACATCAACAACCCTGTTCAATTACAACAAAAACACAGTTCTGCAGATCACCGGGGATAAAGATAAAAGGAGCCAGAGGTCTGGATGCTTCTGGTGTTGGTTTTAACACAGGATCTGCCAATATGAGAAGGATGTAGATAAAAGCACCAATTACAGTCACAAAATCACAACCTTTGGTTTCCTCCCTCCGACCAACAGACACAAAACATGTTCTGCCTCAGTTTAGTAACAACTTTATCAACCTTGAAGTCGTTCACTCATGCAGTTCCTTCCTCTATGGTAAGTTATATTACCGTTCTATTTCTTGGCTCAAGTTCCTGCACCAATATACATGCTGTCTGGCCTGTGAGACGCGTTCTATCAGAACGATGCAGAGCCGATGACTGCATCTCAAACTGAAGTAAAGTTTCATGAGCCGAAAGCCCACACAAAAAACTTTTAATTCAGCATATCTCCACTTCCTGCAGACAGCTAATTATTATGTTGGGGGTTAATTACCTGTATATGGATACAAAATATTGTGGATGGATGCAAACCATCTAGGAGTACTCAGGAAACTTGTCTGCAGATCTATTTGTTAACCTGTGTCTGAGTATCCAGGTAGACCCCGAACCCCTTCACAGAATGAATGTTTTCTAGAACTATGTGTGTGGATTCTCATTTGAGTCTCTCAATCGCTCCATGTGGTTTATGACAATTTGACATGTAATTTAACAGTCTGAGTGGGCACAGTGGATAATTGTGTGGAAGAAAAACAACTAATTAAAAAGTGTCGTATGTAATTATCTCTCCTTACAACTTGTATAATGAACTGTTCTTTATGTTAATATTAGCATTATATTTAGCATTATAGAGAAACAATTCTTAAGTAGGGGGAATTACCTCATATAGCTATCTACCTCATTGGCCTTTTACATATCTTGGCCTTTTCATGTATGACTCTAATGAATGAAGACATCATAATCAAAGAATCCCCTGTTGTGAAAAAAAAAAATCATATTAAACAAGACATATTTTAGGAGTTTATTGAAAATTACTGTGGAAAAACATTGATCTTCCTAGTTTGCAGTTCTGAGTGCAAGGTTGCAGATGACCGTGACACTGTGAAGTTTGGGTCACGTTAAGAATGTTAAGAATATCCTAGAGAACTGATTTTTTTTTTCTGTGCATGTTAAAAAAAATAAATAGTTCAAATGTTTGGGTTTGGTAAGGTTTTTTTTTATGTTTTTGAAACTAGTGTCTTATGCTCATGCTGTATTTATTTGATCCAAAAAAAAAAAAAAATACAGTAAAAACATGAAAATTGTGAAATATTATTAGAGTTGTTTAGAACTGTTTTCTATTTGAATATATTTTAAAAATGTAATATATTCATGTGACGGCAAAGCTGAATTTTCGGCAGCTATAACTACATTCTCCACTGTCACATAATTAGAAATCGTTCTAATATGCTAATTTCTGATTATCACAGTTGAAAACAGTTGTGCTTTTTAATATTTTTGTGGAAGTATTCATTTCTTTTGGAATTTTAAAGTATGAATCTACATTATTGTTAAAGACATGGCGATTAGGCTACTTAAAAGACACGGATATTCGGCTACTTAAAGCTACACTGAGTAACTCTTTTAGTTTATTCTTAGCTAAAAACACTTAGTTCTTTCAAAAATATATGTGCTCATTAATGTATATTTACTTCGTTCAAGTAATAAAGTATTCTCGTGAGTGTATATTATGCCATTGAAAATACATACGGGTAAGGGATTCTAATGTCGGTCGCCATGTTGCCCCTCCATCTTAAAAGTACATTAGCCAAAGAGGGACAAACCCGTTAATTCAAGCTTCGCCTTTCGCGTTTACGTTTGAGTTAACACTCATGGACGAGGTCGCACTGGAAGCCATGTTAATCTTGGACTACACTGGCCACTGTAGGAGTTAAAACGAAATCGGAATTGAGAGGAACAGAAACTAATACTGTATTCACTGGATGGTCATATACCTTTTCACCACTAGATGGGAGTAAAAATCACACAGTGTAGCTTTAAAAGACACGGATATCAGGCTACTTAAAAGAAGCAAAATCAATAACAATTGAACAGAAATATGTTGAATATTCGTAGTAGCTTTTTTTTTTTTTTTTTCAGATTAAAGACTTAACCAAGATATGGACCTCAATCAGAAAATGATGTGCATGCAATTGTGGCCAGTGACTGAAATGTTATTGCATTTAGTGTCTGGAAAAGGTGTATTGCAGCTGATTACTGATTAATACATTGAAGGGTTTTCATTGAAGTACCGTCCAGACTCACTTTAACCATTTAGTGGATTAATATCTAAACATCTATAAGTCTTTCATTCAAAAAACAAGACAGGAGTAGAAGACGTGAGGTAGTGAGAGTGAGGTAAAGAGGCCAGAAATATGTAAACAGACTTCTGAATAAAAAAGAAATGCTGAATAAAGACTTCCAGTACAGCTACTTTATGCCGTGGGATGAAATACTCACTTGAGTGTAAAAGCACATCTCTCACAAGCTTAAAGAGCACTGTGCGCTGGTTTTTCAAGAACACGGTTAGGTTTGCATTTCTGCAAGCATGAGGTCACTGTTCTCTTCAATAAAAATGATTCCTTGAAGAGCCATTTCCTCCTTTTCTTCCAAAAGGAACAAATGATTGTGATATCCATGTGCCTCTGAGAGGTGTGATTTCCCTGGCTTTTATTGGACACTGACTGTTATCTAAAGAAAACAGATAGGCCTACTCAATGAATGTTTCCTTTGGCAACCCTGTAATCCCCCCATTAATACGAGCTGACTGATAATCTTTGTTTTAATTATACAGGATGAACACATTCTGTAGACTCTGGCAAAATCGTGGTACACCTTCCTTAAGCCCCTTTCACACATTGAGGCTTGCCATTATTGACGTGTCACCATATTTGATTTGGACTCATGTATTCATGAGATGACTGACGTTCTGAATTGATTTGAGAATTAATAATCACTTACACTATGTTTAAAATGTTAGTGGGTCAGTACGATTTTTTTTTAAACCAATTTTAACCAAGGATGCATTAAATTGAACAAAAGTGAGGGGAAAGACATTTATATCGAAAGTAAAAACTTTCTATTTATGACGAAAGTATAAACTTTCTATTACGAAAGTATAAACTTTACGAATCTATAACGAAATTATAAACTTATATAACAAAAGTATAAACTAAATATAGATATTTTCTATAGCGAAATAGATATAGATATTTTCTATAAAGAAATAGATGGATATTTTCTATAACGATAACGAAATAAACTTTCTATTTCTATGATTTCTGAAGGATCATGTGAATCTGAAGACTGGAGTAAAGGCTGCTGAAAATTTAGCTTTGCCATCACATTAATACAGGTAAAGTACTGTATATTAAAACAGTAAACAATTATCAAATTGTAATAATTAAAACTAGGGCTGGGCTAATCGCGATTAATCGCATCCAAAATAAAAGTTTGTGTTTACATAGTATATGTGTGTGTGTATAATTATTTTGTATATATAAATACACACACATGCATGTATATACATTTTTTCTTAAATATATACATACATGTGTGTGTATTATATATACAAATTAATTATACACACTACACACACATATATTATGTAAACACAAACTTTTATTTTGGATGCGATTAATCACGATTAATTGTTGCCCAGCGCTAATTTAAACGCAAACTTTTAACCAGGAGTGTACATTTTACTCTGTCCAACAAACAAAAGTGATACACTTGCAGTTTTTACTTTGGGAGCTTAAAACTTTTGGACCTCATTGACTATCATTTGAATGCACAAGTCCAGCTGAAAGTTTCTTTA